ATATATATTATCATAACTAGTAATAGAGTCAATTTATGCGCAGAAATAAAATTGTTGAAAAAATTCTTTCCCAAAACTCAGGCTTCTCTCTCCTCTCATCGACACAATCCAATAATTCAGAAGCAGATGGAAGGCATCATCCAACAACTGGAAATTCGTTCTCTCTAACAATAATATAAGTTCTAAATTCTAAAGAGAGAAAGTTCTTTTGTTTCTTGTTCTGTAAGTTGCAATATTTTTTTTTTTTCCAAACACTCCATCAAGATTGTCGATGGGAGATTGAGAAATCAGAAATACTTTAAGCTTTGGAGCATTCTCTTGTGGGTAAGCTTTGCCGTTTTTCACGCCAAGTCCGGTTTTTTCTTTTTTCTTTTTTTTTTTCATTGTGTGGACTGTGGAGGGGAGAGCAATCTGATTTTTTTTTTTATAAGAGTAATGGTTAAGAAGTTAGTGAGTTAATTGTTAGTAGTTAGTCTTCAAATCGGATGAACATTTCACTCCTTTAAATAAGATACACGACTATCAAATTATATTTTGATAAAATTCACGACGATGATAAAATTTAAAACTCCAATCACCATTTCACTCACGCACTAAAATTTGGGGCGAACAATTGGGTCAGCAAATCTGATTCGGAAAAGCAATCTGATTGAGCGTTAGAGAAAAGAAAAATTTTTCTTTTAATTTATTTTGTTTTATCGGTTGTTGCACATCGCTTTGATTTTACCGACCGTAGCAGGTTTCTCATTTGTGCATTTAATTTTTATGCTACGTGGCTGCATAATGTGGTGGGTGCTAGAGCGAGTGGTTAAAAGGCCCATTAATCTTGTCTCTGTTTGAGCATTTAATTTTTGTGCCGCGTGGCTGCATAACGTGGAGGGTGGTAGAGCGAGAGGTGAAAGGACGACTGCCAAAAAACAAAAACAAAAAAGAAAAAAAGAAAAAAAGAAAGAACGACTGCCCTTAGCATTTCTCTTGTAGGGGCGTTCACTGTTTTGGATTTTAATATTTTTTAATTTAATTTAATTTAATTAATTAGTAAAATTTTAAAATTAACTTAATTTATTATTTATAATAATTAAATTAATTTAATTTAAATCAAATTAATGTAGTTTAATTGGATTAA